ATTTGAACCAGTGCTGCATTCAACATACCATGTGACACACAAAAATCAATATCTTTATGTGTTTTTAATATTTACTTTTAAATTAACAAATTGAGTAATGTATAGTTCTAAAATTTGAATTATAATCTAGTTTGATACCAAACTTACTGACATAAATTTATGACATAGTAGTTCAATAATATTTTGAATGAGAGTCAACAAACGAGATGACATGGCCTTTCACTTGTGACCCGTCTGGAAAGGGTTAATTTGATATGCTTGAAAGTTTGATACTGAAAATCAGAATAAAAATAACTAATGTCATAAAATTTTCTAGATTAAATTATCTATTAACAAGTCACCATAGTCCAGGAAAAATTGCAACTAAAAGAGTAAAGCTTAATTCAATCAAAGTAATGAATCAGCATTACACACATGACTGTTTGAAAATGCTTAGCAGTTTTCAATATGTTTAGATGTACTTATTGTACAATAATTAAACATACAATATAACTGGGCATCCTGTATGAATTAACATTAAGAAATTGGTATCCACAGGGAGTAACACACAAATATAACAACACTACAAGGAAAGAAGTCACATTTAAAAAATATTAGTATTGATAAGGAGCAACACATAAATATAACAATACTACAAGGAAAGAAGTCACATTTAAAAATATTAGTATTGATATGGAGTAACACATAAATATAACAATACTACAAGGAAAGATATCTTATTAAAACAATTAGAATCCACAAGGAATAACACAAATATAACAATACTACAAGGAAAGAAGGTAATAAAATAATAATAATGTATCCAGACTAACGTTCTAAATTTTCCACAACAAATATGTGTTTGTGTAGAGGGGTAATTTCTTTGTGTAAAATAGAATAATTTGAACAAAGATTAGAAATTCTGTATAACAATGACATGACCAGATTACATTTAAAGAAGTTGGGGTTACAACTGTTAAAATTGGTGTAGAGGCCAGTAAAAGTTTTTTTGTGTCATTGTAATGATAGTATAGTTTTAGTTAGTAATCATCTTTGTAACACAATTTTCAGATTTCACTGGAGGGGAGGTGGAATAAGTGTATTCCAAAAAGTTCAAACCTTGTAAATAAAATATTTTAGGTTTTGTAAACCGTCTTCATCCTCATTATGAGACATTTTAAAGTTACATGCCACTTTTTGATTTTTCATAAAAAACTAAAATGTTTCTTAAATAACCAAGCCCAATGGACATGAATAATTTTATTTTTAGGTACTTTTAATCTTTATATTACCACTGATATATTTCAGAAAGAAAAAAGAAAAAAAAAACTTTGATAAATTCCTCACCATGCATCACATAGGTACATCTGCTAGACATAATAATTAGAAATAATAGTCTACAACAATTTTCAATGTACCTGAGTTGGATAGTTCACATGCTGAAGGGCCATATTACTTGCAATCATAGCTCCTAAGTATGAAAAAGAGCACATACCATAGTATTTCTGTTTTGTTTCATCGTGTCCTTGATTCATAAATGTTGCCAACACTAAGATGTAAAAAATGAGAATGTAAACTATAGACTAATCAGCCATAAACATGAAATGTTAAAATCATATAAACTTACTGCTAATACAATGCTGATCTTGATACAATTAATATTCCTTACACCAGTATTACACTGTAAATACAACACACACACAGAATAATAATATTATGTCTAGCTGTCTTTTCTTGGAAGAAGTATTAAAAAAAAAGCTCTTGTTATTAATTTTTCAACAAGTATAGATCCAGAACTAAGGAATCCTTGTTTCCACAGTTGTATCAAACAGTTTTAAAGAGAGCGAAAACAATATGACACCCCAACTCCCAGCTTATTCAAACTAATCCAACACCAGCCCCTGAAACACTACAATTGTAATGAATGGTCTGTGTACCAAATATTTTGGATATTCTGTAACCATGCATAGGCCTACAGTAAACTTCAGAAGTAAAAAATGGATAAAAAAAAAAGATTTAAAAGAAATAACAAATCAGATGATGAAAATGATTTGTTATTCATATTTATTCTATAACTCTTTCCCCTTTTGTTAAATGTGAGAATTGTTCATTGACAAAATTTTATTAATGACGTTTCTTTTTAAAGGTAGTTTAAAAATAGTTTACTTCTCATTTTTTGTAAACTTGAATATTGTCTATAAACTTATTTTCCTTGTGATATACTTTAAATTTCATCATTAAATTTTTACTTGTATATAATTATTCAGCAAATTTGTTAGCTTTGTATTTACATTTTACATATTTGAATATGAAGACTTATTCTAATAAATTCTCAAAATATAACTAAATGACTTGTGTAATTTCATAGTCCATAAAAATTGCTTGATAAAAAATATATTAGTTTAATTTTTAAAACCTTTTATAACATAAAATTCAAAGTTATAGTTTTCATGAAAACAAATTTTTTTAACTTTTTAATATATATTCAGTTTATATATATATATATACTGTTTAAGAAGTATCAAGGTTGAAAACAAATATTTTGGTAGCCAAATGGGAAACTATCATTCACACACACAAACACACCCATATATATATGTATGTGTGTGTGTGTGTGTGTGTGTGTGTGTGTGTGTGTGTGTGTGTGTGTGTGTGTGTGTGTGTGTGTGTGTGTGTGTGTGTGTGTGTGTGTGTGTGTTGTTAAGAAAGTATTAGGTCGTCAAGAAATTAATGTGACGTTTTAGAACACTTTCATTAACCACCGCCAAATAAACGTACATCATGTATAATAGCTAAACAAACCGCTTAAACACTTATATAGTGTAGCCTATATAATGTGTAAAATTTAGTATACTCTAATCCCTTATAGTGATGGCACATGATGAGACACACATTCGGCATGTAATGCTATTTGAATACAAGAAGAGAAACAATGTTTCTGTAGCCACAAGGAATATTAAAGAAGTTTATGGAAATATTTTCAACGTTCCTAAGTGTAAACAATGGTTCATCAAATTTTGCTCAGGTGACTTTGGCCTTAAAAATTGTGATGGCATGTTGAAACTGATATTGATGCTTTGAAGTCGCTTGTTGAGTCCAACCCAAGGCAACACTCATGAAATGATCCTGAAATTACATGTCTCTCATGAAACAATACGTAACATCTAATGAATATGGGAAAACTCCAGAAAGAAGATGTTTCAGTGCCTCATGAACTCTCCAATGATCATAGTTTCCAATATATGAACGTTGCTTCGTCTCTTCTGGCACATAATGCATGTGAACCATTTTTGGACAGAATTGTCACCGGTGATGAAAAATGCATTCCCTATGTGAATATTAAACACCAAAAACCACTTCCAACCCCAAAACCTGGACTCCATCCACAGAAAGTGATGCTTTGCATTCGGTGGGACATTTGAAGTAATTCATTTCGAACTCCTCAATTCACATTTAAATCAAGCCTTTCATCATAAATGCCCTTCACTCGTCAATCAATGCCCTTCTCTACGACAATGCACGTCCACATGTAGCACGTTTGATGCAACACAAGATTATGGAGTTTGGTTGGGAAGTTCTCCCTCACCCACCATATTATCCAGATATGGCACCATCAGATTACCATCTTTTTTGTTTGCTGCAATGCCATCTTAATTGGAAAACGTATGCAAATGTGGAAGGTGTTAAAGAGGGCATGGACATGTTTTTTGTAAGATGGAAAAGCATCATCGATAAGAATGGAGAATATTTCATTTAATAAATGTTTTGATATACAAGTTGTTCGGGTTTTTTCATCTAAAAAAAGCAACATTAATTTTTTGACAACCTAATAGAAATCCTACCGTATAAAAAAACTTCTGTAATAATTTAAAAACAATTCAATTCTATGTCAAGCTTATTTAACCATTCATTGAAACAAAATTTCATTTTACAAGTCTTTTAATCATGCAGTGATCCAATATTTATATAGAACTTTCAAGAACATGCAGCATAAATGCAATAAATATTCATGCAACAACTTGTTTAAAATACTAAATGGTAAATATAAAGCCTAATCTGTCATTAAATTTACCACCTGTCACTGAATTATACAGTCCACCACAATAGGAAGCCTACTCTTATTCTTTCAATTTGTTCTTGTACAGGATGACTGATGAGAGGTGGAATTCCACAAAACCAATATAATGCAGTGACAAGTGGTAAATCAAATAATAGACTGGGCTTCATATATATCTTTTTTAAAGTTACTGCTTCTTATAATACTTACTTATTTTGGCAAAAACTGCATTAATGACACATTGAACAAACACTAATGACAAAGTGTATGTGAAGCGTTCTTTCTTATCTCCTTCACCATAATTACTTCGGGTTCTGAAATTTAAAATTCACTGGTTAAAATTGGCTGTAATACATAAGCATTTACTGTGTACACATCTGTAAATAGAGGATACTTCATTATTGTTTTCAGTACATTTAGTGCTAATAAAGCTGATGAGTATAGAAGATTTCAGAGAAATTAACTCAGGCCCGAGAGAAACAATATACAGTTTGTAGTATTTTTTTTTAAAAACAGGAATAGTTACATAATAACAAACATTACTTGGACCAACTAATCATTAGCATTTAATTTATGAACTATGGTTCTACCCGAAACAAGTTTCTGTAGAAAATTTTTAACAATCTATAAAATTTCTCACAATTAGTTTTCAATGCAAAAAAAATGCACACTTACCTTCAAAACAATGAGACATAATTTGTACTACATAATTGTTAAACAAATGCTTTGGAACAAACATCAGTATGTATATACTGAATATGTTGTATAATTACAGGACTGTAGGTGATTAAAAAAATATATGAATAGTAGGAATCATGGATAAACTTGGAGTAATTTATGTATTTTCCAGCATTTCTTCAGATGTATTGTATATCATGTTAAAACAAAGAATGAGTTTCCAAAGACACTTAAAATGTTAATCAATTTTACTGTATAATCAAATATTAGTTGTTTACTGCACAGATGCATATATGGGCCTAGATTGGAAAAATAGTTTCCAAATTGTTCTAAATGCTTTCTACTAAAAATTACATGATACTGGTAACAGCAGAATTATTAGAAACATTAATAGCTTGTTTTGTTTTCCAAAAATGTTAAAATTTTCCTTATATGACAATTGATTTCAGATAGATACTCACCTTTCCATAGAACAGATAGCTAATACCTCATGCCATTGCCAAATGTTTTTGTGCATGAGTCATGCCTTTGAATAAAAAAAACACCCTTAGATGTAATAACATGTACTGTATCAGGCTATGATGCAATCAGCATTAGAATATATCCCTCAACTTATAAGAGAAGGAACATACCCTCCATGCTGAATACTCCCACTGAGCACATTGTGCATACCAAAAGCTCATTCTTCATGCGGCAAAAGAGACACATTTACAATAGGGAGAAAGGGTGGGTGCTTCAGTGATTATCTATCTGTAATACATTTTTGGATAAGGAAAATGTTAACTTCAGAAATGCTACTCACCTCTCCACAAAACAGATAATTAGAATCCAATATTGAGAAAAATATGGAGGGACTGGTGTTGATAAAGAAATTTAAAAGGTGAATTCCTTTCTGAGTAACAGAAAGGGAAAACGCACGGAGTGTGTCACCCACTAGAGGGGCAAACCTAGTGAGAACATTACTTGGTGGAAGACCACATCTGTCTCAAGAAGGGAATACTCTTTACCCAATACAAAGGTACTGTTAAAGAACCTCCTGTGTGGCAAAAGTATCACAAGGGTATGTGGAATTGTAAAGCTACTTACCTCAACCACATGCATAATCCTATAGTGAATTACAATTGCCTCAAAAAAGAATAATAAGAACAAAATAACAGAGAACTGCCCAAACAGGACAAAGGAGATAACTGAAGTCTGAATAATCATGCATGAAAAAGAAAAGGAAACAAAGAGGATGATTAGAGAATACATTCAACCACCCTCCCTTACAGCCCAAATCTTGGGGAGGAAGGAATGATCTGGGAACAAAATCAATCTGACCCTGTGGTAAAGAATGTGGGAGGCTTCCAAAACAAAAATATTGGAGTGACTATCCTGCAAAATACAAGAAAATATATCATAATAGAAAAATGGTACAGTGAACAGGTGGCCAAGGGTTTGAATGAAGGAATGTATGACTTCTGAGAACTGAACAGAGGCTCCAGTCAAGAAGAACTGGATGATGAGGGCAACCAAACAAAGTCTCAAAAAACCTGAGAAAGAAAAGAAAATGGCCAAGTAAAAGATGGAAGGTTGCCAATCAAGTCATTCAATAATCAGTAATTGTAAAATTGGATAGACCACACTCAAAAACTAAGTAAACAAGAAGATAAGAAACAGTAGGAGGGTCTAGAGGAAAAGAATGGTTAATGAACCAGCATTAATAAATCACTTTCAGCAATAATCTTAAAGAGTAAATGGCTTAAAAAAGTGAGCAAGAAAAATCTGCCTGTCTTGCAATGGAATGGACAAAAGTCACACATAAAGATGAAGGCATGGAACAATGGATTTCTGAAAATGATATAAAAATGGATCTCCAAGATGGAAAAAGACAGAAGCCCCTGATGTGAAAAAGTAGAAAATACAAGTTATCTGCCCAAAATTTATATCATGAGCTCTACCTCAGATTAATTCTAAAATTTGTATCTTTCTTTCTAAAAATCAAGAAAGGAAAAGTAAGAAAGATAACACTTTGAAAGTTAATGAAAAGTTGAAAAAAGTAAGTGCAAAACTGTAATTTTTAATTAAAAAAAAACAGTATAACAGAATAGTAACATGCTAAGAAAAAGAATGAACATTTGGTATGCAAAAAGTGCTCAAGGGTAGTATTGCACATGGAGTATGTGTCACCCTCCTATTGGTGGAGGGCTATAATCAAATAATGATTGCACCATAAATTGGTGCAGTACACATTATTACTTGTAGGATTGAGTTTCATTCAAAGGCTTCTTGGCTCACGCAAAACACTTTTTGGCAGTGGCATAGCATATTAGCTATCTGTTCTTTGGAGAGGCGAGTAATATTTATGAAGATACACTTGGCTACAAAACAATTAACACATTTCATTACAGAAGAAAAGGCTTATCGTAAATCGCATAAAAACAATCATAAGAACAAACAGTATGTTACTCTATGCATTAAGATCCTCAAAGTCAACCTCCATAAAATCCTAACATGTTATAAAATAACAAGTCCAAAGAAATCCTTTTGATCTAAACATCTATAAACTCTAAGAACTCTCAGAAATAAGTATACTTATTTATAAAAAATAAGCCAACACTTAACTAAAACAATTAAGTCATTATGAGAACATAGAAGGACCAAGAATATTTGATCTTAAAATAGTAAGCTAGATTAAACTGATTTAAAGTTGGTTTTATATTGCAATTAGAAGTTGCTTATGAATCTTCAAATGCATTTCAACCTCCTTTCAAATGACAATGTTAGAAGTTATATTCAGCTGGAACATCATATGCTTTGTACTGCAGCATATAGATTCTATGGGCACAAAAAATGGGTTTTTCTTTTGTTCTTGTAAGAATTAGTCACCTAGTAGTAGATTCAACACAATAAAAGGAGAACAAACAACTAGTTATTTCCAATAATAGTTTTGAAAAAAAAATTATAAAGAAGTTTCATAACAAATTAAGTTGTATAAAAGATGTATTCTGCTCCTCTAAGATAACGTCTGTAAATGTTTTCCTTTACAAACAGCATTGTCTTACATATAGTAAAATTAAAACTTTAGGTTTCTTAATGAGAGTGAACTGAGAGGTGAAAGTATTTTCAAACACTTGGGAAATATAGTGATATTACACATAAAAATAGCAAAAAATAAAATTTAAAACAATCTAAGTCTAAATACCTCATGTAGATGTAAGAAAATGTAATTACTTACAATTTTATCAACTACTTCAGCCAAACTAATTTTAAAATGGACATATCATATGTAAAGTGTGCATGTACATATAAACACTTACTTCAAGTTTAAATGTTCATTTTAAACAAATATCAATTTTGAATGGCATTCATGTTACACTGAGAAATAAATGTTGTGGTATTTCTTATAAAAACAGTTTCAAGTTCATTAACGCAAATTAATTAGAGTTTTCCACACATTATCTGTAATTAAAAGGCTTGAATTTGCTGGTGATGCTGAGATGAAACAAAATAGTGGCATTTCAGGATGTTTACAAATTAGGATGAACTGAATGGTTTCATATGTGGGCCAAGATGTGGAAAATAAACTTCAATTCTGAGAAGTTTAAAATGATGTACAAGTTGTATAGATTTGAAAAGGTTCAACTCATTCTGTGAAAGGTACATTTGTACATTTATCTCAAAAATTTGGCTTTGGCTGTCAATAAATGTTTGAAACCTTTAGTCACTGAGTACCTATATTTGCTGAAGAACTGAAGTATTATAACTCTAAGATATTGTTTAATATATACAAGTATATAACAAAATTGTTCCTTTTCCTGCATTTCTCATCATACAAGGGCTTAAATCCATTTAAAATAGTAATCCTAGTTGACTTATGAAGATTTACTTTACTACCTTTATACCTTCTACAAGTAAAAACATCACAGAATTAAGGATAGCACAAATATTGTACTATTTAACGTAACATAGGGACAAAAAGATAAACCATTTAGACCATTCAAAACTGTCCTTACACACAAACCCTTGCCAAAAAAAAAATCATCCTTTATTTTTCAGAACATCATCGATTGTCCCTTTTAAAGTCTTATAAGTTGCAATAGTAACTCATTTCATAGCTCAATCAGTGTTAATCAAAGCCTGGACTATCTATTACAAATTTTAACTATGTCCTCTCATCCTACTGCCTTCAGAATATAGAATAAAGAAATTAGATATATTTATACAGGATAATATTTTAAACTTGAATACAGATATCACCTTTTACTCTTCTTTTCACAAAGAGAACAAGTTACAAGATCTTAACCTATACCCATGAGATAACCCTTCCATTCCCAGAATCATCCTAGTAGCTCTCCTATGAACCCTTTCCAATAAGTCAATTTACTTTCTTGAATAAGTAGACCAAAATTGTACACAGTATTCCAAATTAAGCCTGAATGGTTATTTGCATAAGAAAATATTTTTTTTCATATTCAATCAATAGGTTTATATCTATATACCATAAAGTTCTATCATCTCTGGTATGAGCAACAAAACACTGTCTCAATGGCTTGAGTGACTTATGCCTCACTAGGCTAAGATCTTTTTCATCGGTCATGCTATATCGAGTAAGCGAAAATACTTGACTAACTTACCAATTGATTCAAGTCTCTCTGTAATACCTTTACATCATCATAATGTAAATGAGAAAAAAACAGTCCCAAGAAATGATATCCGAGACATTCCACTGGTAATAAGGAATTCAGTTTGACTGAACACCTATAATAACTTTTTGTTTCATTTCATCCCCCATTCTACAAGGCAGTTTACTAATTTTTCCCCTACTCCTACCAAAATAATTTTCTTAGCTATTCCTTGATAGATTGTTTAGGCAGAGTATTCATGATGAAACTTTGTAGAATGAAGGTCAACTACCTGTTGTAGAGAACAAGTGTAGAGGAGTGTGTGTTAATCCACCAGAATACTATAAAGACCAATAACACCATACACACACTGACCTGAAGATGAAAGTCGGAAGACTTTCGAAACGTCGTCCTCTACACTTGTTCTCTACAACAGGCAGTTGCCATCCATTCTACAAAGTTTCATCAATTTTCTTAGCTGATTTTTGTGTGATACCTTATCAAAAACTTTTTGAAAATCTAAGTGCAACAAGACCAGATCCTTTTTCATTATCTAGATAAAATGTAACATCTGTGAAAAAAGTTAACATATTAGTAAGAGAAGACTTCCCTTTAGTAAATCCATATTAATTTTCTCTTATAATAGCATATTTCACTACATGATTTTGTAAAGCTTTTATCAGATACTTCTTGTAGTAGAAAAAAATCAAGAGTAAGACAACTTTTCTACAATATTCAGGACAACTTTTACCACCTCTTTTAAAAACAGGAAAACATTAGCAAGTCTCCAAATCTCAAGCTAGTTAATAACAAATATTTATTTAACCGGCATTTAAACAACAACCTTTAATTAAACTCAATAACATACTTTATTTTCGTTACTTAGTATAATATATCACACCCACTTAAATAAATTATATGTATACACTTCCTAAAATTAAAACATACAAAAATGCTATGAAGAGTACCTCCTATCTTCAGTATAAATATCTTTGTAATTTACTTCACAGAAGGATAAGGTTGGATATTCCCATTCAATAGTTCTCAATTATCCAACTACTGAACTAGAATTAGAAAAATTACCGTGATTCTAATAATACTTAACATATTTTATAACATAATACAGATTAACAGCAAATGACTTGTCATTCTTATAATACCAAATAACATTTATTAATATTATTTATTGAACAATAATATTTGTTGTTTCCATATACCACACTACCTGTCGTTACTTCAACTTTCAAGTTCAATAGTTTTAGTCACAACTTACAAGTTAAATGTTATATAGGTTACACTTTATGGCTAAAATTGAATGATAAAATGAAACATATTTTCAATAAAACTTACATTTTCTCCTGCATTATTCCAAAGTAAAAGTAACATACAAATATTCCTAACGCGTAAAAGATTAGTTTATGTGGGAAATTCATATCTGGATATTTGCTCTGCAATGCTATTTCTAGTACAGTAAAATTCGAGTCTACTCACTACCAACTTCTCTTAACTTACTTTCGACCCTCCGGTCTTCCAAATATGAATAAAATACGTAGACAGTAGTGCCATCTAGCAATAGTGTTTCACACATATCGAAATGACACGTGTACCAAGTTTTTTGTTTTGTTTATTCTTAAGCACAAAGTTACACAATGGGCAATATGGACCGTGCCCACCACGAATATCGAAAAGCGATTTTTAGAGCAATAAACATACAATCTTACTAATAATGGTTGGAGACGGCTTGAATAGGTAATGAAGAAAAACTTTAATATAAGTTTAACATAACAGCAAAGGTACAACGTTTCGACAACGTTTTGTCATCATCAATCTTACTGCTGAGACACAGGGGCGCGTACTAAGAAATTTTTCTATTCAACGAGTAATATTAATATACTGACGTAAAAACTTATCATAAAAAGCAAGATGTGGAGGAACTGTAAAATATGGCAATTATTTTACAAATTATATAAAATAGGTTTATAATCAAGTATTTATTCATAGTTAATGTTCGTCATTTGTATCTATACGAAACTATCCTGCAAAAATAGAACAAAATTTAATTCTCGTTATTGTGAAGGGTGTATTTTTTACGTTTTCACTAGTATAAGTAATAAAGAAACAGTTTGTTAGAGCATAATTTTCATCACAGAAATTCGTCTATTTTATGATTACTTGTAAATTTTTAGAAAGGAACCTTACTAAACAATACCTAGCAAAATGAGAGGCGTAGCGATGAATAATCAATATGTTACGACAGCGGAAGTCACACGACGCTCGGATATGCGCGCTGGAGTTTCTCAAAGGATCAGGAATTTTCGAGGAACCCGCGAAGTCCGAGTTTTGCTAGACGGCCTCTTTTTTTTTTTTTAGTACATAAGCCTGGCGAGAAAAACCAGCGGGATTGAAGAGATAGATAATTGAGTCAAGCGAACATTAGGCA